GCAGATACTAAGATTTCACCACCACCAGGCCTACTTTACAAGAGCTCCTGAAAGAGGCACTAAACATAGAAAGGAACAACCAGTACCAGCCACTCCAAAAACATACCAAATGGTAAAGAGCATCAACACAGTGAAAAAACTGTATCAACTAACGGGCAAAACAGCCAGCTAGCATCAAAATGGCAGGATCAAATTCAAATATAACAATATTTACCCTCAATGTAAATGGGCTAAATGCCCCCATCAAAAGATACAGACTGGCAAATTGGATAAAAAGCCAAAACCCATTGGTGTGCTGTATTGAGGAAACCAATCTGACATACAAGGACATACATAGGCTCAAAATAAAGGGATGGAGGAAGATTTACCAAGCAAATGGAGAGCAAAAAAAAGCAGAAGCTGCAATTCTCATTTCTGATAAAATAGGCTTTAAACCCACAAAGATCACAAGAGACAAAGAAGGACATTACATAATGGTAAAAGGATGAATGCAACAAGAAGAGCTAATGATCCTAAATATATACGCACCCAATAACAGGAGCACCCAGATACATAAGGGAAGTTCTTAATGACTTACAAAGAGACTTAGACTCCCACACAATAATAGTGGGAGACTTTAACACCCCATTGTCAATATTAGACAGATCAATGAGACAAAAAATTAACAAGGATATCCAGGACTTGACCTCAGACCTGGACCAAGCAACCTGATAGACATTTACAGAAGTCTCCACCCCAAATCCACAGAATATACATTCTTCTCAGCAACACATCATACCTACTCTAAAATTAACCACATAATAGGAAGTAAATCACTCCTCAGCAAATGCAAAAGAATGGAAATCATAACAAACAGTCTCTCAGACCACAGTGCAATCAAGTTAGAGCTCAGAATTCAGAAACTAACTCAGAATCACACAGCTTCATGGAAACTGAACAACTGGCTCTTGAATGTTGACTGGATAAACAATGAAATGAAGGCAAAAATAAAGATGTTCTTCGAAACCAACGAGAATGAAGACACAACATACCAGAATCTCTGGGATACATTTAAAGCAATCTCTAGAGGAAAATATATAGCAATAAATGCCTACATGAGAAGCAAGGAGAGACCTAAAACTGACACCCTATCATCAAAATTGAAAGAGCTAGAGGAGCAAGATCAAAAAAACTCAAAAGCTAGCAGAAGACAAGAAATAACTAAGATCAGAGCAGAACTGAAGGAAATAGAGACACAAAAAACCCTTCAAAAAATCAATAAATCCAGGAGCTGGTTTTTTGAAAAGATCAACAAAATAGACCATTAGCCAAATTAATAAAAAAGAAGGCATGATCAAATAGATGCAATAAAAAATGATAAAGGGGATATCACCACAGATTCCACAGAAATACAAACCATCATCAGAGATTATTACAAACAACTCTATGCACATAAACTAGTAAACCTGGAAGAAATGGATAAATTCCTGGACACTTGCATCCTCCCAAGCCTAAACCAGGAAGAAGTCGAAACCATGAATAGACCAATAACAAGGTCTGAAGTTGAGGCAGCAATTAAGAGCCTACCACCCAAAAAAAACCCAGGTCCAGATGGGTTCACAGCTGAATTCTACCAGACTTACGAAGAGGAGTTGGTACCATTCCTTCTGAAACTATTCCAAACAATCCAAAAGGAGGGAATCCTTCCCAAATCATTTTATGAGACCAACATCATCCTGATACCAAAACCCGGCAGAGACTCAGCAAGAAAAGAAAACTTCAGGCCAATATCCATGATGAACAGAGATGCAAAAATCTTCCATTAAACACTGGCAAACCAATTGCAACAGCACATCAAAAAGCTTATCCACCATGATCAAGTAGGATTCATCCCAGCGATGCAAGGCTGGTTCAACATATGCAAGTCTATAAACATAATTCACCACATAAACTGAACCAAAGACAAAAACCACATGATTATCTCAACTGATGCAGAGAAGGCCTTTGACAAAATTCAACAGCCCTTTATGCTAAAAACCCTCAATAAACTAGGTATCGACGGAACGTATCTCAAAATAATAAAAGCTATTTTTGACAAACCAAGAGCCAATATCATACTGAATGGGCAAAAACTGGAAGCATTCCCTTTGAAATGTGGCACTAGGCAAGGATGACCTGTCTCACCACTCCTATTCAATATAGTACTAGAAGTTCTAGCCAGAGCAATCAGGCAAGAAAAATAAATAAAGGGTATTCAAATAGAAAAGGAGGAAGTCAAATTGTCTCTATTTGCAGATGACATGATTGTATATCTAGAAGACCCCATTGTCTCAGCCCAAAATCTCCTGTAACTGATAAGCAAGTTCAGCAAAGTCTCAGGATACAAAATCAATTTGCAAAAATCACAAGCATTCCTATACACCATAACAGACTTAAAGAGAGCCAAATCCAGAACGAACTACCATTCACAATTGCTGCAAAGGGAATAAAATACCTAGGAATACAACTAACAAGGAATATAAGGACCTCTTCAAGGAGAACTACAAACCACTGCTCAACGAAGTAAGAGAGGACACAAACAGATGGGGAAACATTCCATGTTCATGGTTAGGAAGAATCAATATCGTGAAAATGGCCATACTGCCCAGAGTAATTTACAGATTCAACTCGACTCCCATTAGCTACCAATGACCTTCTTCACAGAACTGGAAAAAAACACCTTAAACTTCATATGGAACCAAAAGAGAGCCCACATAGCCAAGTCAATTCTAAGCAAAAAGAACAAAGTGGGAGGCATCACACTACCTGACTTCAAACTATACTACAAGGCTACAGCAATCAAAACAGCATGGTACTGATCTTAGTTATTTCTCATCTTAGTTATTTCTTGTCTTCTACCAAAACAGGGACATAGACCAATGGAACAGTACAGAGGCCTAGGAGACAACACAACACATCTACAACCATCCGATCTTTGACAAACCTGACAAAAACAAGCAATGGGGAAAGGATTCCCTGTTTAATAAATGGTGTAGGGAAAACTGGCTAGCCATGTGCACAAAGCAGAAACTGGACCCCTTCCTGACAGCTTACACTAAAATTAACTCCAGATGGATTAAAGACTTAAACATAGGACCTAACACCATAAAAACCCTAGAAGAAAATCTAGGCAAAACCATTCAGGACATAGGCATAGGCAAGGACTTCATGACCAAAACACCAAAAGCATTGGCAACAAAAGCCAAAATAGACAAATGGGACCTAATCATACTCCACAGCTTCTGCACAGCAAAAGAAACAGTCATTAGAGTGAATCGGCAACCAACAGAATAGAAAAAATTTTTGCAGTCTACTCATCTGACAAAGGGCTGATATCCAGAATTTACAAAGAACTAAAACAGATTTACAAGAAAAAAACAAACCAGCCCATTCAAAAGTGGGCAAAGTATATGAACAGACACTTTACAGAAGAAGACATACATGAGGGCAACAAACATATGAAAAAATGCTCATCATCACTGGTCATTAGAGAAATGCAAATTAAATCTACATTGAGATACCATCTCACGCCAGTTAGAATGGCGATCATTAAAAAGCTGGAGACAACAGATGCTGGAGAGGATGTGGAGAAATAGGAACACTTTTACACTGTTTGTGGGAGTGTAAATTAGTTCAACCATTGTGGAAGGCAGTGTGGCGATCCCTCAAGGACCTAGACATAGAAATTCCACTTGACCCAGCAATCCCATTACTGGGTATATATCCAAAGGATTATAAATCATTCTACTATAAGAACACGTGCACACGAATGTTCATTGCAGCATAGTTTACAATAGCAAAGACCTGGAACCAACCCAAATGCCCATCAATGATAGACTGGACAGGGAAAATGTGGCACATATACACCATGGAATATTATGCACCCATCAAAAACAATGAGTTCGTGTCCTGTGTAGGGGCATGGATGAACCTGGAAACCATCATTCTCAGCAAACTAACACAAGAACATAAAATCAAACATCGCATGTTCTCACTCATAGGCAGGTGTTGAACAATGAGAACACATGGACACAGGGAGGGGAGCATCACACACTGGGGTCTGTCAGGGGGAGATAGGGGAGGGACATTGGGGGGTGGGGAGTTGGTGAGAGATGGCATGGGGAGAAATGCCAGATATAGGTGATGGGGAGGAAGGCAGCAAGTCATACTGCCATGTGTGTACCTATGCAACAATCTTGCATGCTCTTCACATGTACCCCAAAACCTAAAATACAGTAAAAAAAAAAAAGTAAGACTTGTTGAAATTCAGCTTTATTCTGTTATATCTGCAGACAAAGACATTGAAGGACTGTTTTTGTTAGGGAAAGACTCGCTGCTATAACAAATCCCCAGCTTTCAGTGGCTTAATACAATAAGCAGCACATTTCTTGTTCATATAACAGTCCAAGGCTAAGGATCCTGGCTGGCATATGGCATTTCCCACCCAGTTATTCAGTAGCTTTGCTATCCACTTGGGCCTTGTTGTGCATCATTCCAGCTGGTAGAAAGAAGGAGAAATTATGGAGAAGTCACAGTTGCTTCTTAAATCATGGCATGGAATTGGCACACATTACTTCCGTCTACATTCCGTTGGTGAGAACCAGGGACATAGGCAATACTAAGATGCAAGAAATTCTGGGAAATATATTCCTGGTTGGACTGCTGTTTCCCAGTTAAGAAACCTATACAATGCAAAGAGGAGCACAGAGTTTTGTAGACAGATAGCTTCCTTGGCTGCAGGGACTGTATCACAGATATGGGAAAAACACAAAGGTCACACATAAAAATTAGTCACTATTTTATAGCCACCTTCAAATATATGAGCATGTCTATACAGAAGGAAAGAAAATACTTCTGTTTGACACTTTGCATTCATTTTGGATATTGTATGGTTGGTGAGATCCTTTTAATACTATCAAGAATGTTGCATTCCTTATTCATAGTGTATGAAAAACTGAGACTTTTCTTTTCTTGTTTTTAAGGTTGGACGAAATTTGCCCGATTGACACGGGCTTTGACAAATAGCCGAAGTGTTTTGCAGCAGCTCACACCAATGAATAAAACAGAGGTGGTTCACAAACATTCAAGATTAGCTGAAGTAAGTATGAGATGGACTTTGCTTCCCAAGACGGTGGTGTTGGTACATTTTTCTTCCACAAAATGATTTAATATAGATATATCTGGCTATGATCTTATGAATACTTAGGTGATAATTTATGTTTCCTTTGTAGAAATATAGAAATCCCAAATATTTCTGTTTATTCTCTCCAACTTTTGAAATGAGAATGCAGCTTTTGACATCGCAGGTCATGTCTGTAGAGTGTAAGGTTTTCTTTGAGCATATGAGATAGGGAGTTCATTCATTGCTTCGTGCATATATGCAGCAAACACGTATTGAGGGTGTGGTCTGTGCTTGGCATTCTGCAAAGGATGTAAAGATAAGTAAGAAATGGGCTCTGTCTTCAAGGGGTTAAATATCCAACAGAGGAAACTGATCATAGGATGTGAAAAATACTATGACAGGGTGCAGTGGGAGCCCATGCAGGAGAATTTGCCCAAACATGGGGCCCTAGTGAAGGCTGCCTGAGTGAGACGATACCTGGGCTGAGTGAATCTTGAAGGGAAGACGTAAGCGTTAGTCAGATAAAGAAGGGATGTAGTTTATTCCTACCAGGGAGGCCAGCATGTACAAAGGCTCAGAGAAGAGGTGGTATGATGATGTTGAGTATGACTTTAGTGTAGTTGAATTCAGATGGGGAAGGATAAAGTAGGGTGGCATGTAGTGAAATGGTGGTGGTTGGTGTCTCATGTGCCAGGAAAATGACCTTTGTGCCTCAAAATAATCTCTCAAAGGGAGGTGGGTCCTAACTGGTTTCTTGTGAAATTCCATGTTTTTATTGTTTTATTTTATTGTGTTTATTAACACAATAAGAACAGTTATTCGTAGTTTTTACCAGATTGCCATAGGGTTCCAAGACACAAAATGATTAGAAACTCCTGCTTGACCTAATGGCTCTGTGGAGAATGGGTAGGTAGGGAAACCTGTCAGGAAGTCCTAGAGGTAAGTCAATTAGAATGACCATGGTTGCCAGCAAGATAGTGGTAGCAGAAGTGGGATTGCAGACACATTAAGATTAGAGTGAACACATTTGTTGATACATTAGAATAGTGTGTGAAACAGGGGTTGAGTCCAGGCCAGTTCTATGTGTTTGATTTAGATGACAGGGTAGGTAGTACTGTTGGTTAATAAAATGACAACTATAAGAGGAAGGAAAGATTTGAGGACAATGACTATGAGTTCGGTTTTTGATATACGAAGTTTGAAGAGCCCTGTAGGAGGTCCTAGTGCAGATGCCTGAACAGCAGGGAGACTTATGGGTCTGGCACTCTGGAACGATATTTTAATTTGAGTTTTAGGCTTCAGTGTCATCCTCACAGTTATGGCTGCTCAAGTCATGTGACTAGATGATGTTACCCTGAGACTGAGGAGAAAAAAATGAGGACAGAACTCTGAGGCCACTAATAGCTTTATTGTTCACATGTCTTCTATAACCGTAATTTTCTGTAACTGTAATTTGTATTACTCATGTGAAAGATGCCAAAAAGCTCTTCAAGCCACCAAAACTATACTGAGCACGACGTTTGTACTCACAAAGTATTCTCAGGTAACTTTTACCAAAAGAGAGAAAGATAAAATAAAATCCAAATGCTTGTCATTTTCTCTGCTGCAGAAAAGTGAGTTGAGGCACTTCAGAGTAACTTTCTTAAACTCATTGTAAATATTGAATCTGGTTTGAGGAGATTAAGAAGTAAAGTATGTTCCCTGAATTTGGAAGACTATGACGTTTTTCTTAGACCATGGCTAACAAAAAGACTTTTGGTTTTCTGCTTTAAATAGCACTGTTAGCTTGGGGAAGGATGAATGCTTTAACGTACAGACATGTTTCTGAAGACCAAAATAAGACACTAATATAACTAAATATTAGCTAGTAATAATAATCACAATATTTAAAAGTCATATGCAGTTAGTACAAGATTTAAAGCAGACAATGAGATACATGTTTCTTTTACAAAAATGCTTAAATTTTGGAGCTATTTGCTCTTTTGCCTAGAATTGCCATTTTCTTTCTGTAAATCAAGCTGAAATTTAGAAGCTTATTTCTGTGATTGTTGAATTTTATAGTCATGATTCCTTTGGGGTCTCAACCACACCCTATTCAGGGTTTTTCTTTTGTCTGTTACACAACAGAGCGAGAACAAGTAGAAGGGGACCGTAGAGAGGAAAATCTTCTTTTTCCAGAGTCACTCAGGATTGTTTTTTCTCTGTCAGGGGAAAAGAAAGAAACTTTCCCTTGACATTTTCTCATTTTTATTTTTGAGAAACTAATTCCTATTTCATCCCATCTGTTTTTTAATTTTAATTTTTATTTTTTTACTTTGCTCTGTGATTAGTGTTAGTTTATCAGTCATCCCTTATTCATAAACCTGATTCTGATATAAAACTGCTTTCTGTCAGATCTTAGGGTCGATTTCAGAGAGCATACAGAAATAATAACAAGATTGTCAATAGAGATTTAGTCGAGTACCTGTAGTGCATGCTCTTAGATCTCCAAATATAGACATAAAAGAAATACCAAATAAGTACAATATTATTTTTCCAGTGGTACTCAAAACTCACATAATTTGCTCAACACAAGTATTTGGTTTTGCTAGGGAATTTTAGGCTCTTTCACTTTTTCAAAGACAGATAAATTTAATCTCCATTCTACCTGATCCCCCAAATTTGGAGCTGATCCCCAGTTTCAAAGTTTCCAGTTTCCACATAGGTAGTTAATTAATTTTCCACATGCATTGACACCCTGCTGATTGCCTTCAGCTTGTTCACTTTTATGTTGTGTAGAGATAAATATATGCACCCGGCCACATCAGTCAGTGGGCCTGACTTTGTTGGAGTCAGTGCTCTTAGATCTTCAGAGAGGAAGAATGTGTCTGTATTGGTACAAAAATACATCAAAAAATGTGATTTCATCCTCTGTCCACCAAAGGCTTATTGCTTATAAAAGCGCAAATGAAATAACAATGAAAGTGAAGAGTCTGTTACTCACTGTTTTATAAAAGAGCCCAGGGATAGAGTGAAGATTAAGGTAGTGCTTTGCATATGAAAAAGATCAAGCCCAAACACTTATGCACTATTTTTTGTTGTTGTTGCCATTTTCCTCTTCTTCCTCCTCCTTGTCCTCTTCTACCGTTTCCTCCTCCTCTTCTTATTTCTCCTTCTTGTCCTCATCTTGCATTTGTTGGAGGGCTTTACATATGCAAATCACTGTCTAGAGAATTGCGACCTGATGTCTAAAGAAATGTAAGACAGAGATCTTACCTTGGGCTGTACATTGTAATCACCTGGGAATATTTGAAAATATAGATTCTCTGACAACCCAAACGAGACTAATTTAATCATCCTCCAGGGTGGGGTCTAGGTATAAGTATACTGTATTCTTTTAAAACTTCCACAGATGATTCTGATCTATAGCCAGGTTTAAGAAGTTCTGAACTCAGGGTGATACCATTCCATCATTAGAGGAGACCTACATTAATCTGGGGTACTGAGCAGGGCTGACATCTGTTAGCGTGGTAGGCACAGTGTCCACAGGGGCCCCACTACACTTTTACAGGCCCACAAGATGTTTCAATTTCTATTAACACCAGAAGAAAAAAGGGTAACTTTTAGGTAAAAACAAGCATTGAATGTGTGATATTAATATATTTATCTTTGTAGCAGTGCTGTTATTTATATATATATATATAAAATATATATTATTTATATATTATATATTATTTATATATTATATATATTATAATATAATATATGTTATTTTATATATATTATATATATAAAATAACAGCACTGCTATGAAGTGTGTGTGTGTGTATGTGTGTGGGTGTATATATATATACATATATGTATATACACACACACACACATATATATATACACACTTTTTTTTTTTTTCCTGAGATGGAGTCTTGCTCTGTCGCCCAGTCTGGAGTGCAGTGAGTGGTGCGATCTCAGCTCACTACAATCTCCACCTCCCAAGTTCAAGCGATTCTTCTGCCTCAGCCTCTTGAGTAGCTGGGACTACAGGTACCTGCCACCATGCCTGGCTAATTTTTTTGTATTTTTAGGGTAGATGGGGTTTCACCATGTTGGTCAGGCTGGTCTTAAACTCCTGACCTCAAGTGATTTGCCTGTCTTGGCCTCCCAAAATGCTGGGATGACAGGTGTGAGCCATTGCACCTGGCTTTTTTTAAAATTTACTTTTTTAATGGGAGGAAGGAGTTCAGGAAGGCACAAAGGCTCAGGGTCCACGAAGGTGGTAGTGTACCCCGGCACTGAGTTTGTTCTTATTTCCCAAGTTTGATTTGTGCTTAAACATAAACTGTGTATATATAAATGGTAAAATACTAACATTGAGTGTGAAGGCAATTTTCATGTTTAAAACAGTGAAATTGGAACTGACAGGCTAGTGGTTGAAAGACAAAAGAAAAGTCATAATTATGTACAATTGTATATATGTAATACTTCATCCCAACATGAAGCCTATGCTCCTGTAGGATAATTTGCTGTTAAGCAATTTAAGACATTATGGGAAAAATATAATTAAGGTGCTAATAATGGCAAATACGTAAAATATCTTTACAAATATTCTTATAATCCACAAAATAAAAATAACAATTCTAACATACAATTAAAGAGACCACCAATGATGTTTTCCACATCAAAAATAGTGACAATGGATATTATATTCCTAGTTTTCAGATATGTAAGTTCTATATATGAAAGGAACTTTAGGATATTCTCCCAGGCTTCCAAAGATGCTAGTATATTTGTTTTGCTTTGTGGCATATATTATAACTCAGAGTTACATGTTAACAAGTATTTTTATTTTTATTCACTTCTACATATAAATAGGTAATGCATTTATTATTTTATGATTTGGACTTTTGGACTCCTACCTTCTGGGTTCCATTAGTCCTAGAGACACTGAATAATTGAATCCTACATTGGGCAAAGGTGTTGGAAACATTAAAAAATTTCCATTTACCAAGTTCTTTAACACATACATTTTCTTTGGTTTCATTGATGGCGTGGGACAGAAGTTTTTGATTTGCCCCTTCAACGGTGTTTTAGAATTCTCAATTTCCAGATTCCAGAAGGCAGTGCTGTGTCCCATGTTTGTTGCCTTTGCCCAGGGATACACAAACCTCTACTCTTGTTCTGTCATCTGCTTTTTATCTTTGTTTTCTATTAAAATTAGACCTAATTAGAGTAATTCAAAGTTCATACAACCTTATACTGAAATTTTTCCATTTGTCAAATAGGTGTACAGAAACAAACTTGAATATTTAGTATTTTTTACCCCTAAGGAAAATTTACATTTGGGCAAGAAACACAATATTCTTTAAGTCCAGATAGAAGGGAGAAAGGAAAAAAGCAGACAATACTCTTTACAACCCTTTCTACTGCTGAAACAGGGACCCTGCTGAACATCACCCAACAACAACATCACCAACAGTGGGATGCCGGAGTTCAGCAAGGCCATCAGAATCAAAATTATGCTTCCTGAGGTGCTAAATATGTATGAAGAGTAGATAATGGTGTGTCACTCAAATAACTGCTGGATAGTCCATGAGAGACATGTGATTGTAGGCAGGCTTGCAGAATGAGCGTGCAGGAGGCACTTGCAGACATGGACATCCAGCAGTGTAGTGGATCAGTGTTGGTTAATGCGTCATAGCAGGCCAGATGGAACAGCAGACAGATCAGCTTTGGTGGAGCGATTGGACTTGGAATGACTTCCTCTGAACAAATTTTGGGACAGCTCAGGAGAAGAGGGAGGCAAAACTATGGAGCATGACTGGATGTGGTTTGACTGCCAGTAAATTTGAATTCATCACTGACTGGGCAGAGATAACCTAGCCATTTATGAACACATTTTCTCTCTTTTAGGTTCTTCAACTGGGATCAGATATCCTTCCTCAGTATAAACAAGAAGCGCCAAAGACGCCACCACACATTATTTTACATTATTGTGCTTTTAAAACTACTTGGGATTGGGTGATTTTAATTCTTACCTTCTACACCGCCATTATGGTTCCTTATAACGTTTCCTTCAAAACGAAGCAGAACAACATAGCCTGGCTGGTACTGGATAGTGTGGTGGATGTTATTTTTCTGGTTGACATCGTTTTAAATTTTCACACGACTTTCGTGGGGCCCGGTGGAGAGGTCATTTCTGACCCAAAGCTCATAAGGATGAACTATCTGAAAACTTGGTTTGTGATCGATCTGCTGTCTTGTTTACCTTATGACATCATCAATGCCTTTGAAAATGTGGATGAGGTAAGTTTTTTGTTTTGATTTGCTGAGTACTATGGGTCATATGTTTTGAAAACATCAGGATAAATGGATTCCACAGATAATCCAAACCCCTTTTTAGCCACCACTTTCAACTTTCTTGAAACCCTTGACAAAAAGTATTGTATTTGATCACTTTAAATTAGTTATTATCTATTTCTTTTCCTTGATATCTGGTTGAAAGTGCTAATTACTAGAAATTGGAGGTTGTGGATGGAAGAAGTGGAGGAGAAGAAAAGTGGCTTGTATTTGAAGTATTTGTATTATGGTTCACAAACTAGATAATTGATTGAAATAAGATATTAGGTTGGTGTAAAAGTAGTTGTGGTTTTCTTAGTTACTTTTAATGGCAAAAACCACGTTTACTTTTATAACAACCTAATAAGTAGATGCATTTTCTTTGAAAAGCTGCAGCATTTAAAAATTCTGAATCTTTGGACTCCTCCTCTCAAGACACATGTGATAACAGTGATAGAGTTAACATAAAGATAAGACACTTTCATGAAAGAGCAATTCTTGAATGTTTGCCACTTTGGTTTTTTCCTCATAACTTTTGCTTTACATTTTGTCTGAATATATTTGTGGGTATTGGATGACATATGAGTCCATTTTCACACTGCTATAAAGAGACAACCTGAGACTGGGCAATTTATAAATGGAAGAGATTTAATTGACTCACAGTTCTACATGTCTGGAGAGGCCTCAGGAAGCTTATGATCGTGGCGGAAGGTGAAGGGGAAGCAAAGACTTTCTTCACATGGTGGCAGGAGAGAAAAAGGAGCACAGGGAAACTGCCACCTTTAAAACCACCAGAACTCCCTCACTACCATGGGAACAGCATGGGGAAAACTGCCCGCAGGGTCTAATCACCTCCTGCCAGGTCCCTCCCTTGACATGTGGGGATTACAATTCAAGACGAGATTTGGGTGGAGACACAGAGCCAAACCATATCAGATGGCTTCTGATGTCTGGTCTAATTGAAGACTCTGCTTCTTCAGTGCTATCTGTGCACCTAGAAGTACTTAAAACATGTAAAAGCTTAAAAAACCACTTCATCCACAGCTTCTCAGCCTCTAACTTAATAGTGGATGATATTTAAATTGTCACACCAGGCTAATAGGCTATAACCGGTAATTTCAATTCATAATATATAAACGAGTCAGTATAGAATATGTCTATTATGAAAATGTATTCATAATGATAATGTTACTAACTCAATCGCCCTACGATGTTCCTATCGTTTCTACTCTGTAAACTGCTCAGATGGAAAATTCTCCATTATGTTGTTATTGTTGCTGTTGTTACTCCATGTGTATTGGGAGATAGATTGAAACTTTTCTTAAGAAACCTTTTCCATAAAGTACTTACATTTAATCAACTGTAATAATGCTATAAATATTATTTCCCCCAAATTTAAGTATAGGCGTTGTATTTTGATATAGTACATGTAATTATTACTTCATAAATTATGGGAAAAAAGAAATCATAGTAATTTATTTTCCAAGTTTTGTTTCCATCTGTATCAAGCTTTCAGAGATTTATTTTTTTTTTTCAAATTTATCTTCTGGAGTGAGTTCAAGGAGTTAATTTTGAAAATAAAAATCACATGATATTTGTATTTTCAAAATTAAGCAGTATTTATATTTTGCCCACTACACAGATGATTACATGAATACATTGAGATTTTGGTTATTTAGAACCTAGGCCTAAAGATTTTAATAAAAACAATCACTCATGTGGAATCTAGAAAAGTTCATCTCATAGAGAGTAGAATGATGATTACCAGGGGTGGAGTGAGTGGGGAGATGGACAAAGAATACAAAATTCAGTTAGATGGAACTAAATCCAAGAAATCTATTATACAACATGGCGACTATAGTTAATAATATGCTGCATTCTGGAAAAATGCTAAGAAATTGGGTGTGAAGTGTTCTCACTGCAGAAATGATAACTGAAGAAACACGTATGTTAACTAGCTAGATTTAGTCATTCCACAATACATACATGCTTAAAAATGACAGGTTGTGGCCGGGCGCGGTGGCTCAAGCCTGTAATCCCAGCACTTTGGGAGGCCGAGGCGGGCGGATCACAAGGTCAAGAGATCAAGACCATCCTGGTCAACATGGTGAAACCCCGTCTCTACTAAAGCTACAAAAAATTAGCTGGGCATGGTGGCGCGTGCCTGTAATCCCAGCTACTCAGGAGGCTGAGGCAGGAGAATTGCCTGAACCCAGGAGGCGGAGGTTGCGGTGAGCCGAGATCGCGCCATTGCACTCCAGCCTGGGTAACAAGAGCGAAACTCCGTCTCAAAAAAAAAAAAAAAAAAAAAAAAAAAAAAAAATGACACGTTGTACATAGTAAATACATGCAATTATTTCTGTCAATTAAAAATAATCAAAAGATTGGTTTGATTAGTATTACAGTAAATACATTGTATAATAAATACATTTATAATAGTGTATAATACTGCAATTATATAAAAAGATTCTCAACTTTGCTCATATTCAAGAAATGCAAAGTAAATCTACACTAAATACTATTTTCATTTGTTACTCTGCAAAGATCAAAACTATGTTAGAACACTAGGCTGTTGAGTGTAGGAGCCAAGTAGGTGAACTGCTGAAATCTCCTTTTATAAACATCGGCTATGTGGCGCACAGTCAGCAGCACCCTTGGTCGGGCTCCTGGCTTTAGAAAGCCTGCTGTTGGCATCTCTTCCCAAGTCAGCATTTAGTGATCTCACAGTGGTAGCTTGAAATTAGCCACAGTGGGAGTATTTACACTACAGTAAGTAACAAAAGCTGCAAATTAAGTCCTTTTTAAAAAGCTTTCTGTAGAGCCAGTTGTTAATCATTTTCTAATGCGTCACTGAACACAGTTAACTGAAGACTGCTGCCTTTTCTGATCTGCTGCAGCCCACATATTGAAGCTGGGCTCACACATTTCCCCAGGGCTGGTCCCAGGCAATGTCTGAGTATGGTGGGAATACTATAACTTGCCCATACCTGCCACTTTTGCTCTGGGACTGTCTATTTACTGTGTAAAAGCATAAGCTACCTCTGCCTACCTGAGTCTTCCTCCCCTCTTTCACAGGTGTTAGACCTGCATTATAGTCCAAAGGCTCTTCCTGTTCCTCTGCTCCCCACATTGTCCTTCCCAGACATCTACCTCAGTGAAATTCTTGTGTAAATAACCCTGGCGTGGCTTCTACTCCTTACAGGACCTCAGTTGATCCAGTGGGATGTGGCACGTCACTCTCGTATACTGCTCAGGGGAGAATGAATTGGTAAAATATCTGTAAAGAAAGGTTGGCAATATCTCATTCTAAAAAAGAGAAGACCCTGCAGGCAACCACTTTCAAATTTTTCAGGGGATTCTTTTATTATTTGCTTCCATGTCACCAAACAACACGATTATATAACTACCTCTTTGTCAGTCTTAGGTTTTGTCTTTGACTTCTCACTATGAAAGATGAGATTTTAGCTTCCCTTTCTACTTTCTCTCACTACTTTCCGGCAACATTTTTTATCACTTCATTCTTACAATATATCATCCTTTTGATTCAATAAATATTAAGTGTTGATGTTTTTTTTATTAATTTTTTTTTTTTTTTTTTGAGACAGAGTCTTGCTCTGTCACCCAGGCCGGAGTGCAGTATTATGATCACTGCGACTTCTGCCTCCCAGGTGCAAGTGATTCTCCTGCCTCAACCTTACAAGTAGCTGGGACTACAGGTGCACACCACCACACTTGGCTAATTTTTAAACAATATTTTTAGTAGAAACGGGGTTTCACCATGTTGGCCAGTCTAGTCTTGAACTTCTGACCTCAAGTGATCTGCCCACCTCAGCCTCCCAAAGTGTTGGGATTACAGGCATGAGCCACTGGGCCTGGCCACGTGTTATTATGACTGCAAATATGCACTTTATATCTGATCCTTGTAGCATGTAGCATGCTATAATTACTTTTCCTTCTCTGTACTTTCCATTTTTCTGGGAGCTGATAACTGTCTGATTTTATGTCTTCTGTTTTCTTATCACTAATCCAACCACAATGTTCTCTGACAATTATCCAAATCTCCCTTCATTACATTGATGCAAGAGGTATTCTATCAATATCATTTTCTTAAACAAACCCCTCTTTACCCTTTCACCTGATTGATAGTTGAGCTGGCTCTAATATTCTTGGCTAGAGATAATTTTCCTTCAGAATTTTGAAAGATACAATGCTATTGTACTCTATCTTCAGTAATTCTGATAAGAAACAGAAGTCATTATTATTTCTGGTCCTTTACACGTAACCTGTTTCCTCCTTCTGGAAGTTTTATATGTCTTCTCTGTCCCAATGTTCTGTAACTTTTTGATGGTATGCCTTTGTACAGGTTTATTTTCATCAGTTTTGAGGGGTATTAACTAGGTAGTTCTTTTCAGTTTGGAAAAGAATGACTGTTCTCTTCATATTTTTCCTATTATGATTTTCTCCAGCCCTCTGGCCTTTCCTAAATGCCCTCTCTTCCTGGAACTCCTTTTATTCAGATATTGTACCTATGGGACCAGTCCTGGAATTTCGTTTTTTTTTTTTTAATCTCCTATTTTTCAATCCTTTATCTTTTTGCTACAGTTTCTGGGAGATTTCTTCCACTTATTTTCTAACTTTCTTTATCCCTAACAATGCTTTTCTTGCTTAAGGTCTAGTTTGCTCAATACTATTGTAGCTAAATTAGCTTTTGTATAGTTGGTGTGTATTTTGTATGTATATTTCTGAATATATATTTTATGAGTAGTATATGGATTCCGAAAGTCTTTTTAACAGGCAAATTTAATCTGTTTATGTTTATTGTGATTAATTACATTTTGATTTTCTTAGTACATCTTATTTTCCATTTTCAAATGCCTTTTTTAAATATTGTTTTTCTGTTTTTTTTTCTTTTGTTTTTCCAGGTTTTGGATTGAGTGGACTTTTCTTTAATCTCTTGGATTCCTCTT